TCAATAGGCTAACATCACAGGGAGTTTAATTGCACAAAATTACTGACCAAAAAGGTTTTATTTATAAAGACAGTGCTTAGGCCAACTTGTGTACACCTCGATTATTCCAACAAATACCTGCTACCTTCCACCAATAAAGTACCGGGAAACTCTATCTAATAGAACATAAGCTCTCTACTGAAAACTGAATCATGATCTCTAAGAGTTTCACCCACTTTATAAACCACTAGGTCAGACCCTTGAGTGCCTAGTAAAAGAGTCCCTTTTTAACACAAAATTGGAGAGAGAACAGTGTTGCCACCCTATCTTAATGAACATATGTCAATGCAAATTGTAAGCAAATTGAGCGTTTTAATATATAGTTTTAAAATCTTATATACCTTTTTATTATCAGGATATTTTATAGATATGAAATACGATTCTTTTACATTTGAACCACATCCTTTAACATAGGAGCAGGGTGATACCAAATCCCCCACCCCGCAAAAACATTTCAAATTTTCATCAGACCGACGACAAGAATTTTATAACCATACCCTCCTCCATCTGAGAGAGCTAAGTTTAAATTATGTACTCCCTTTGTCCCAATTTTGTGGCAACCTGTGGATTTTGAGAATCAATTTTTTTAATTTTAACCGTGAATGCAAAAATTAAATGTTGATTTTTTATTGGAATAAAATTTACAAATTTGAAACTATGTAAAATGTATTATAAGTCACTATAATTGACAATTTAAAATATTTGCAAGCCATTTGAAAAATATTTAGTCAAAAAAAAAATAACTCGTTTGACTTTCAAACCCAAAATGTGCCACATAAATTGGGATGGAGGAAGCATAAAAGATGAGCAACATAATCAGCTAGATAGCCTAGGTTGTTTAACTTGTAAAAGAACATTAAAGATCAAAATCTCTCTCAATATCCCAACTTTGGCACTTTGCAACCCAAAATTATAAAAACAACAGTAATTGTGCCTGATCAAAACTCAAATATGAGCAGCAAGGTCATTCAAAACTAGGAGAATATTGATCCTCCAAATTGTGTTCAGGGATCTTCATCCTCTAACTATGTTTTTAACAATTTATACAAGATATCCACAACAAACTGAACAGAACAATAGAACATAATAGCTCAATTGTAACAGTTAATAGCATCATCATCACTTCAAACAAGTACTTATGTCCCAAACTCGCCCTTTCGAACAGGATTCTCATTTATCCTCTTTTCAATTAAAGAGAACTAATAAGATATTTTCAAACAGATTAACCATTGCAATACATAGAAAAACAAGCAAGAAGGTCCTATTTAAAAACATCCAAACAAGAAAAGTGACCAATTTTCCGATTCCAACTATTAAGTAACACTCTCAGGTAAAGTTATCCATAACAAGCCTTTTTGCTAACATCACATTACCTTGAGAGAGTTTTAGAATATGTTAGGTAAATAAATGCATAGTATAGAGATAAAAAAACAACACAACCTATAAACACTACCAAAACTTAATCAATATGCAATCTACTCAGAAACGAGAAATAAAAATCAATCTGCTCCATTTAAACACAAACATTTACATAACTAAATCAATTAAAGCAGGAATCAACCAATCGAAATCCGGAAAACGGATACTTAGTAACAAAAACAGATCAGATCTTGAACAAATGTACCTGAATACCGTAACGAATCGATTATAGGGTAGGTTTATCTGCACTTTTGTATATAGACCCGATTTGAAGAAGAAAATTTGTATGGAGGAGAGAGAAGGAAGGAGAGAGAAAGTGTGTATGCCGTACTCTCCTCGCTCCTCTAATCTTTCCGGAAGATTTGAGGGTTTGCGTCCAACAATTGCTTTCTCTCTCCAGTTTTCGGAGCCTTCTGCTGTGGGCTTACACTGTTATATATCTGTGCAATTTACAGTGACGGGTCGGGTTGCTTCCTGTTTTAGGGCAGAAAAATACATAAATGAGTTTTAAAATTTAATATTTTTAATCAGCATTAAATATTTATCGAATTTATAGTTTAGATTTGGCGAGAATATAAGGAAAAAAAGATTTCCACCTGAAATAAAGTTCTATCATATCCTAAGATATACAATCATAAAAAGAAATTATACCTTAAAAAACTATGCCTCCAAATGCCAATTTCTTTTCTTTCGTAAATATTGACGGAGATTAAAAATAATAACTTCTGATAAATTTGCTTAAAGGATCAAATTATTTGGTGCCTACTCAAAAAATATTTTAAACTTGTCATAAGTATAAAGAATGACTTTTGTTATTTTCTCTAACTTAGGGATTCCCTTGGATGTAAATGCAACATCAACATAGTGGAGCCATATTTAACACATTGTGACGCCATTATTTCATCATGAGTGACTTTTTCACTGAGGAATATGTACCTCTATTATATTAATCAATAAATTTGGAAATTATCGTAATTTAATTAAAGTATATTTACTAAAAGATGATTTTAAAATATTGTCAGTGTCATACTGTTAAAATGTCCCTATTAAAATGTCAGATTTTGAACCTGATAGCACTTACAATTCAGACCCAATATCACTATTAACTAGTTCAAATTTTAGTAGTTTATAATGCTTCCATAGTAATATTATTTGTAAAATAGTGTATACTTGAGAAACCTAAAATAAAAATGAATCATTTTCATTCTATCTAAATAATATATAGCAGAACCAAAACTATTGTTTTTTTTTTATAAAAATAAGTTACAATCTTTCAAAAAGCAACGATCTTAAATCTGTTTAGACAATGAACTCTATATTCTTGAGCGCATTTCCCCAAATTATTAGATCTTCAACATGTTTATACCCTTCGTTGGCACATTAGTTTATCTCTCTCCCCGGATATGATTGATAAAGGAGCAGATACCGTATACCAATACAATTCTTTTTCAAATTTTCAAAGCTCACGTATTATCTAATAAACTTACTTTTGTTACGTTCATTATCCCTAAAAAACGAACAAATTCTCCAAAAAGTTTATAAAGTTTAAAGGCATTTGATGCTTCTGAACCAATTCAAAAAGATTCCCCCAAAGAAATCATTCTTGTACAGTAATACTTTTGGATGGCTTCCTCGATTTTTAACTGGTAAAGTGATTTAAAACTAATTCATTTCTTAAAACCTGTTAGTATATTCTTTCTCCAAACATCTATACGACATACTATCCTATTAAACTATACTAGTTGAAGTAATCTGTTATTTATCAAACAAATTGGAGGTTTTTTTTTTAAAAAAATGTGAGTAAGTTAGAGTGAACAATTTTTTGATGTTTTTCAAAAACCTGAATATTCCAAAATTCTGAATGTTTCAAAATTTTATAGTCAAATGTGTTTTTCAGAGTTAAACACCCCCTTTATTCACATGATATCAGAACTAGACTCTTCTTTGTTCTTGGTTTATCTAAGGTTAATCTCCATATTATTGTTCATGCTCCAATTGTTCATAAATCTTTCTTCATATCAACCAGGCTTAACCTCACTTCTAACTTACTGAATCTCGATCCCCCATGTTATATGGTCATGCTCCAGATATCCAACTCTAGACATGCAGGATTGTTGTTGTTCCATAATAGTTGACATGTGTTCACTTCTATCAACTAGCTTTTGAGGTTGAGTCACAAACAAAATACGCACTTTCCTCATGGAGGCAGAATTTTTAATTTGATCAAGTACCTTTTTCTTTTCCTTTAAACGTGAATCAAAATCCCAAAGTTGATTTCTTTTTTCGTTATTCCATTTTATCAATTTGCAGAGAGGGAAATATAACTAGTTAGGCATATGACTCGTCCCACATCGGTGTTGCAACATATTTGTCTGTTGTTTATTAAGTGAACAACTACGATTTAAGTACATGACCTTACTTGAACAGGATCTGTTTTATAGGCTCGTATTACCTTGGAAATCAAGTATGGTGGATAAAGCATGGCCAGATGGTCACATGTCTGTCTGACAGACTCCTCGAACTTTTTGTTTGTTCCTCTTTTTTTTCGAATACTAGCTTTCTATTTCAGCCTGTTTGCTTCCATTTTCAGCTACTCTTCGGTGATACTTTCTGACTGCAATTTAGAGTTCTTGGTCCCAAAAAGAAAAATAAAGTCTTCGTTGAGTAAGAAGACAAGTAGCTAGAAAGCGACTTAAGAATGGTTCTTCAAGCTATTCGACTTACATAAACTCAAGGCTGTGATCCAAGCGCATAAAGAGAGGAGAAGCTCACTGAACTTTAATGGTTGATAAATAATATGATTGTATTGTAGTATTAGAAGACAAGATAGTCATTGAGTTGTTTACTTACATAGTATTAGAGCTGCTAGGAAGCTTATCGTTTGGTAGAGTGTATAAAAATAATGCTAAATTGAGTGTATTAGTAATGCTTGCATCAGTTATACATAGATTATTTTTAAGCATTATTTGGTTTGATGCATTAAAAATAATAATTTACAAAGATACCATTCACTAATATGGTACAAAAGATATAAAAAAGGTATTGAGGGGAAATTGGGTCTTTAATTGAGTTAATCCATGCATTAAAACCATTGCATTGCTAATACCTAGAAATCCATGGTATTAGCAATACACACCTTAATACACAATAGGGTGTATAACTAAAGTTATACATAGGTTGGAAAAGAGCACCAATCAAGACACTAGTAATACACAAAGTTAATGCATACATTAATTTTTTTAATACACTCTACCAAACGAGAGTATTACAGTTAATGTACTGGTATTTTCCACCTGAAAGGCTTACTTGAATTAATCCAAACTGGATGTCTGGCACGATCCAAGTGTTGAATGTATGTAAATTGAACAATAGTAATATACAGAAGTAACAATCTATGTATAGCTCTCACTTGTGTTATTGCTGACAAAGAAGGGCAACACCTACGAAACTTTATGATCAAATAACCTTTGCTTTGCACTTGGCATATCACACCCTGTTACTGATGCAAACAATCTGTACACATGCCTAACTTGTAGATAAAATAAAATAGGAGAATAAATTGCAGCTTTATTACCGAGTTCCTGATAGTCAAGGATCCTTACAAAAACATGTGAGCCAAAAAGTGGATCATGGCATATGAATCCTCAACATTTTACAGACAATACTGGGAAAAACAACCCCCTTCTTCAGAATGTATTAAAATAATAAAATACACACAGGAGTGAAGCACTAATACGCAACCCACACATCTTCATCCTTACAGCTTCGAAGCTGCATCCTTATCTAAAAACCAAACTAATTCTCCTTCGGGTGAAACCATCTGCACAGGCAGCAAATCAGAACTTTTATCATCACCTAGCGATTTATGCACTACATCTGCCTTCCCAGCACCTACTACAGCAAGTGCAATATTTGCAGATGAGTTTATTACAGGGAATGTAAATGTAATCCTGTTCGGTGGAGGTTTTGGAGAGTCTTTGATGAAGGTGACCCACTTCTCTTTCTCATGGACAAGAGGATGCCCGGGAAACAAGGAAGCTACATGTCCGTCTGGACCCATACCCAATAGCATTACATCAAATTTTGGAAATCCACTCTCTTTAGAGATGTCAAGAATCTTGCTCTTAACTAAGTGCCTTAGACAAGTCTCATAATCATCTGCCGCAGCCTCTGCTGATAATGCATCATTTATGAGAAGTAAAGGTGAGGTTAGAAGTTTGGTAGAAAGAATTAAAGATGTCAACTGAGAATAATGATGAAGTAAGAGTTATCATCATTCATAATAAGATCAAACAATGTAGGCAGTTCACATGTGAAGCAAGTACTATGAGCAATTTGAAATACAAAAAGATGCCCTTGGCAGCTATGCATCACTAAACATCTTTTCTGATACAAATTGGATAATTTAGTTCTCAACCATCTTTATTTAAACAGTATGTGCTTAAGAGCTAGTCAGACTGCCAAATAGGAATTAAGATGTCATGCAAGGTTTCAAATGTTTCTCAAACTCTACAATTAAAACTTGCGCGCATTCAGATATGTTGTTGTTAAAACAGATAAATTTGCTGCCTTTGATGAAAGAAATCTAGAGGATAAAGATAACTTAAATCACCAAAACCTGTTTAGTGCACTCAATGCTGATCCACATAACATGAGAACTAAATTATTAACAATTATAGGAAGTAGAGCAGGTAAATATACACCAGTTAAATGCACATGTAATGAGTCATCTCAACCACACAAAAAAGAGTGCTCCATGAAAAGCCAACCTTCAACACATGCTTTTCTTTTCATTATTGATAATCGTGGTGTCCGGGCCTGTTTGCACGCACTTAGACTAATTCAATGGGGTACTATCACCTCTAACACAAACTGGGTGTTTCAAAACAGATTCCACTGGACCATAAAGTCAGGGGCGGCTGGTTAGGCTTAAGGAAAAGTCCTAGGCCTTAGGCCCCCAATTTTATTTTTATATATTCTATCCTCCTCCCTTCCTCTCTTCTATTTATTCTCACTTCTCTTCTCTAAATTCTAATTTTACATCTCTCTTATTCAAAGCTTAAGAATTTACTTGTTCTATTGATAATTTATATTTTAAATTTGGAGAAAAATATATTGCGACAGCCCGAATCATTTAGAGTTGATTACTTCTTATACATAGTAGATCAAGCCATCTTTTCACTTCAAAATAGATTTGAACAATTTGAAGTATATGAAAATATTTTTGGTTTTCTATTTAGTGGGAAGAAATTGAGATCATTTGATGATGAGAATTTTAAAAAAATATTGTCTTAATCTTGAATGTTCCTTAAAACATAATACTCACTCCGATATTGACGGTTTAGACTTATTTTCTGAATTAAAAGTGTTAAGGAAAATCATAAAAGTAGAAGACAATACTCTAATTGAGATACTCAATCAAATAAAAAGACTTTATTCTTTTCCAAATGCTTACATTGCTTATCGAATAATGTTAACAATTCCCGTAACAGTCGCCTTAACTGAAAGAAGTTTTTAAAAATTAAAAATAATAAAATCTTATTTAAGATCGACAATATCTCAAGAATGATTAAGTGGTTTGGCTATATTATCGATTGAAAAAGAATTACTAGAAGAGATTGACTACACTAAAATTATTAACAACTTTGCATCTAAAAAAAATAGAAAAATAAATTTAAAATAAAAATATTTATAATTTTTGTAAGGCCTCTAGTTTGAGTTTGGCCTTAGACCACCATCGAGTTTGAGCCGCCCCTGCATAAAGTTTATGTCTTTTATAGGTGCAATCGTTTATTTGCTAACAATTCACGCCGACTTTTCGTTGAAAATCACGAAGGTACCAGAACTAAATGTTAGAGCCTCTCTATTCATATCATCAATAAATTTAAAATAGCTTATAACACTCAATCATAGGTAAAACATTTAAAGTGAAAAGAATGGGACCAAAAACATACTTCATAAAAAAATGGGAACAATAACATAAATTCAAGTTAACCAACTTTGCAAAAAGAAAAAGAAAATAGATATGAAAAAAGGAACGAAAAGAATTGTAGTTTGCTAATTTAGATAGCATAATAGGCATTGTATTCTAAATCAATGGTCAATGACATGATTTTGGTATAGGATTGAGAGAACTGCAGGCTAACATGACTGAAAAAGTTCATCTTTACTCCCTCCAACTCGATTTATGTGATGGTGCTTGACTGGGCACATAATTTGAGAAGGAAAGAAAAGACTTTGGAACTTGTCAAGTCTAAAATAAACCATAGATATTTGAGTGGCTATAAATCCTCTCATTATGGGTAAAATGGGCATTTTAAAGTTAAAATGTTACTAAATATAGAAAAGTGTCATTCTTTTTTGGACTAACTAAAAAAGAAAATAGTGTCATACAAAATTAAGACAGAAAGAGTAAGAAAGAAGGTGTTTGGGCCAACTTGGTACACCTCAATTATTCCACCAAATACATGCTACCTTCCACTAGTACAGACACCGGATAACTCTGTCTAACAAAGCTTAGGCAGATGGAAATAAAACCCCGAGCTCCACTTATATTAATCACTAGGCCACACTATTAGTTGCTAGATAAAAAAATGTTTTTTAAAACAAAATTGGCAAGTGCTAAATAGGCATTGCCTCTCTATAAACTACCCTGCCAATGTCATGATATTGAAATAGGATTGAGAGAATGTCTATAGGCTAACGTCAAAGAGAGTTTAATTGCACAAAATTACTGACAAAAAATATTTTATTTATAAAGATTGTGTTTAGGCCAGCTTGTGTACACCTTGATTATTCCACCAAGTACTTGCTACCTTCCACCAACAAAGTACGGGAAACTCTATCAAATAAAATTTACGTTCTCTGTTGAATATTGAACCATGATCTCTAAGAGTTTCACACACTTCATAAACCACTAGGCCAGACCCTTGAGTGCCTGGTAAAAGGGTGCTTTTTTTACAGAAAATTGGTGAGAGAACATTGTTGCTACCCTATCTTAATGAACATATGTCAATGCAAATTGTAAGCAAATTGAGAGTTTTAATATATAGTTTTTAACTCTATTATACCTTTTTATTATCAGGAGATTTTATAGATATGAAATACAATTCTTCTATCCTTGAACTACCATCCATCTCTCCTCTTTTCAGTTAAGTAGAATTAATAAGACATTTTCAAACAAATTAACCATTGCAAAACATAGACAAACAAGCCAGAAGGTCTTTTTAAAAAACTTCCAAACACGAAAATGGACACATCTTCCAAATCCAACTATTAAGTGAAACTCTTAGGTAAGGTTTTCCCTAACAAGTCTTTTTGCTAACTTCGAATTGCCTTGAGAGAGTTTTACAATATGTTATCTAAATAAATGCATGATATATAAATGTAAACAACCCAACCAATAAACACTACCAAAACTTAATCAATACACAATGTACTCAGCAACAAGAAATAAAAATCAATATGCTCCATTTAAACACAAATATTTACATAACTAATCAATTAAAGCAGGAATCAACCAATCGAAATCCGAAAAAACAGATACTTAGTAACAAAAACAGATCAGATCTTGAACAAATGTACCTGAATACCGTAACGAATCGATTATAGGTTAGGTTTATCAGCACTTGGAAGAAGAAGAAGAAAAATTGTATAGAGAAGAGAGTAAGTAGGTGTTTGGCCATGCAATATCATATCACCATATGGTATCATGAGATGGAATCAGTGTTTGGACATGCGATTTTACGATGATTCCATATTATGATACCATGATATGGAATTATATGGGAATTTCATATCATGATTTGAGATATTTAAAAACAAAAATTGATCCACAAGTTTATATTTTGTTAAAACAACCTCACATTTATATCTACTAACCATTTATTTCATATGTAAATAAAATTTATAGTCAACGTCACAATTTCCATATCCGCACATGATAGTAAAATACTTGAGAATGCACTTGTTGAACCAACTTCACAATTTCCATTACACAAAGTTGTCTCATTTACGTCACATATGCTTTTAGTAATTCTTAAAAAATGTTTGTTGGTAGATAAATATTATGTTGTTGATGCTGGTTTCGAAACACAAAAGGATGTTTAGCTCCATACAAAGGACTACGCTATCATTTGCAAGATTACCGAGGAAGTGAAAGAGAGCCTCAAAATTCCAAAGAACTGTTTAATTATAGACATTCATCTCTGTGCAATGTGATTGAACGGACTTTTGGAGCTTGGAAAAATAGATTTAGAATACTGAAACAAGGCATGAAGCATTATGATATTGATACACAAGTAAAAATTGTCATAGTTTGTGCAGTGTTACATAATTATTTGCGAGAATATCAAAGTACTGATGAAATATTTATGGTCAATGAGCATGAAAATATAGTTGTGGATGATATTGACCAACAAATGGCTCAAAGTAAATGTTGGTTCGTCCTCTCGGTCACATGATCGAGAAATGCAAGTTCAACGTGAGGAAATTGTCCGTACTGATGTGGGAGGATTATATTAAAAACTAATACACTACAATGTGATTGAACGGACTTTTGGAGCTTGGAAAAATAGATTTAGAATACTGAAACAAGGCATGAAGCATTATGATATTGATACACAAGTAAAAATTGTCATAGCTTGTGCAGTGTTACATAATAATTTGCGAGAATATCAAAGTACTGATGAAATATTTATGGTCAATGAGCATGAAAATATAGTTGTGGATGATATTGACCAACAAATGGCTCAAAGTAAATGTTGGTTCGTCCTCTCGGTCACATGATCGAGAAATGCAAGTTCAACGTGAGGAAATTGTTCGTACTGATGTGGGAGGATTATATTAAAAACTAGTACACTACAATTTATGTTCATTTTCTTTTTATTAAATTAAAGTTAGATAAAAACAATAACTTAAGTGGAGAACAAATAGTTTTGTAATAATTTATTATGCGATTTTATAATTTTTTGTTTATTTGGTAAGATTGAATAAACAATTGGGCTATTTTAATAGGTTTACAACTTATGAGATTTTTATGTTTATGAGAAAATATAGAACACAAAAATTTCATATCGCATGTCCAAACAAAACTTCATTTTCATCTGATAATTTCATATCATGATATCATATCATGATTCAATATCACATGGCCAAACGGGTCCTAAGTGTGAATGCCTTACTCTCCTCGCTCCTCTATATCTGTGCAATTTACAGTGATTTCATTTTACAGGTCGGGTTGCTTCCTGTTTTAGGGCAGAAAAATACATAAATGAGTTTTAAAATTTACTCCTTTTTAATCAACATTAAATATTTATCGAATTTATATGTTGGATTTGACGAGAATAAAAGGAAAAAAAAAAAGTCCACCT